TATAATACTAAATAATTGTATTAATCCAAATATAGTATTTGAATGGTTCATTAATGCTTTTAATTATTAGATTCGTTTAAAGCACTGATAAATACATTTGCTAGTTTTTTTTAATTATTATTTTTTGTTTTTCAATTAACAATTTTAAGAATAATTCAAAATTTTTATTTTCGTATACAATTATTACATTTGTTCCGATTTTTCATATTTGATGATAAATATTTCGATTTAAAACCTTTATTCATATGATTTCTATTTCAGTACTTTTAAAAATTTTCCATTTTTTCGAAATTTTTGTTTGCATTCCATTCAGCAACCAAATATAATTGTAATGATAACATTTTATGATTAAAAGATTTATGATAAGATAAGATAACCTTGATTTTAAGATCTTAAATCAAGCCTATCTTTTTTAAATTTCTGAAAAGTGTCAAAATTTTAGTCTTAAAATTTTATTAGTTCTTATCTTTTCCAATAAAATTCATCATTTCAAATAGAGGATAGCTATGATAAATGTTTTACACGAAATTATATTGATTCATGATATATTCTCTATTCGAACATTCATGATATAACATATTCTTAATCATAATATACCATATTTTCAATCGCAGTATACAGTATTCATCCTCATTTTATACGATATTTCTAAATTACGATATATACTCTATTCTCAATCATGATACATAATATTCTTAATCACAATAAAATATTCGCAGTTACAGTAAATGATACTATTAATTGTTTATCATTTCTTAGCATTACATTCAATCATTTCCTTGAATATATCAAATCATAAATTTAATGAGGAAATTTTGAATAAAAATTTCAATGGTATTGAAATTTTAACTTTAATTTTAATCAAATAAATGTAAAAGTTGTCTCGAAAAAAAAAGAAAACAAAATGTTTTGTTAATTAGAATCTAAACACTGAACATAATAAATTAGTAGTGATACTATAATAATTAATTACAATTAGTAATGATACTGCAATACTTATTTAATCAAAGTGATAAAGGTATACAATTATAATTAGAATAATGATAATTAAAATCCGATATTGTATTGATTTGTTCGAAAACAATCCGTTGTATTAAGAAAGAAAAAAGTATTTTTAAATGAAAATACAGAATGCCAAAAACGTTGATTTTCCAAAAATGTTTTTACCTGAAATTTTTTAAAAATTAAAGAAAAAAAAAATTTGCTAAAAAAAGCAAAGTGATATTTAAATGATGCTTTATGAAAAATTTTAATTTGTTACATGATAAGCTATAAATTATGAATAAACTGAAATCAAAAAATTGAATTAAAAAAAAGAAATCATTGCTCGCTTTACTTGAAATCGATTCATTACTCCAGTCATTAAATCAAAAGTTATTACTTGAAATCAGTTATAATTACTAAAATTTCTTCAATTCGGCTTCTAAATTCATTTTATCAAATTCCTTTTTCAATTTTAAATTGAGTTCAATTTAAATTTAGACTATTTTTATTACTTAAAATATTTATCATTAATTTTTATCTTAATTAATCATATGATAAATGATCATCATCCTTTTACCTCTTCCTTATATTTATTTTCAAAATCAACCGGATCACGTGCAAGAACTATAATTGGATATTTCAGCGGTTGTGTTAGAATGATATAATCATATTGATCATTATCATTAATTGGTCCATTACGTATTATCGAATCTAAAAAAATTTTAATTTTGATTAAAATATGAAAAGTAATAAAAATTAATTGCAAAAAAAAGAATAAAAAAATATAAATTAAAGCAATAAAAAATTATTTGAGTAATTGTATAATTATTAAATAGAATATTTATAAATGGATATGAAATATTAAATTGAATACTAAGGATATTAGCGCTTACATATAAAATATTCCGATTGAGATGCTATAGGATTAAAAAAAAAAAATTAAAGAATAATTATGCCATTATACGTTTAGGCTGAAGAAATTTTAATTAGCAAATCCATTTATACCAGAAATATTTGAGCTTAACTGCTATTACACTTAGATATATTTAATATTTATGCTTATTTAAGCTTAGCTAATAATTTGGCGTGGATTAAAAACCTTACATGGACATGGGTCAGCTGGATGACCAGTGTTAATAAGTAATTCTGCCGGATTTGGACCCATTTTTCTTCCATATCCTTCCAAAATTTTAATCTTTTCCGTATTTCGCGAATATTGTCGTACCGTAAATATTGCCGTATAAGGTGTTTTATCCAATAATTCAACTAAAGGAAAAAGAAAAAAAACCAATGAAATAAAATTATAAACAGTATTTTTTTTTAATTTAAAAAAATGAAATGAAAATTTAATTGAAAAAATGAAATAAAAAATGAAACAAAAATTTAATTAAAATTAAATTAGTCGAGGAAAAAAAAAGGAATTGATAAATATAAAACTTACAATAAAATATTGGACAATACTCCTGATGAATGCTTGGTGTATCAACTACCTATAAATTAAAAATTAATTTAAATTTTTTTTTAAAAACAACCAAAAGTAAAATGATTGTATTGAAATTAATAATAATCAAATTTACTTACCACAAACCATTTACCCATTAATTTGCTAATATTAATATCACCAACAGCCATATACAATGAATTGTAAAGATTACTTGCAATATCGTTTGTATTTAATTTTTGTAAAAACTAAAAAAAAAGAATTAAGAAATTAAAAGAAATTAAAACTTGATATTATCAAAAATAAAAAGGAAAATTATATTAACACGAAAATTATTATATCAAAAAAAAGAACTTTGAAAATATAATTGAAAAGGAATTATTATTAAAGATGAAAACAAAAAAAAAAAAATGCTTTTCTTAACATTTGAAATATATTCGAAGAATTATTGATTTTCTTAAATTTGTTAAATTAAACAAAAGTAATTAAATTGTTAAAAATTGTATAATTAGCTAAGATTGCTTAATTGTTCGGCAATTGCTGCTGTTCGATCATTTGGTGTACAAGATTTGGCATAAAGTTCAAAAATTCGCATTGGTGGTACCGAACGACCAGGTACCGGTATACCACCAAGATATTTAACTGAAATATAATTCATAACATTATTCGACATCTCTTCTCATCAATATAGATCTTAATTTGTTAACTTAAATTTTAAGTTTAAAATTTTTAAATTTAATTTTATTAAAACTTTTTATTAATTAAAATAATTTAAATGAACAAATGTTTGGTATCCTAAATAAAATTTGTTACCTAATTTTTTAATTTGGTGCAACTGCTAGGATAATTTTAATCATCCAGTATTAACCGTATTTAGTTGTAATGCAACTACCGGAAATGATTTTTTTTTTTTTTTTGCTATGCAATGATTTCCGGAAACAATATATTGCACGGAATAGTGTTAATTATTTCGTTTAATTTGTTTGTTTACCTTTCGCTCTATCAATCATTTGGCTCATCGTATGTTTTTTCCTTCTTGGCCTATTTATTTATCGCTATATTTTGATGGTGATAATGTGACAGGTCAAAGATTATAGATAGTAAATAAGGTAGGAAAAAGAATAAGTACTATCATATATTGGCTAACTATTATATGTACTTTTCATTAATCTAATTTAATAAGCATTACCTGTATAAGAAAATTTAAGCAGAAATAGGAAAAAGATGATGGAAGTGTGAAGAAGAAGCATTTTTGTAATATTATTGGAGCGGGCAATTCATTTAGGGTTGAGGAAAACGTCCTTCGTTGACCTAATTCATCCTACTATTATTATGGTGGATGGTACGGGGAGCGGGAAAAGGTTGTATGTCCTATATTAACCCAAATAGGTTATGAATATGACCGATAATACCGTATATAGCTTATGATTATTTAGTTGTATGAGCATGATTGATAATACAGTAGTAATACAGTCGGCTCAATTATATATCAATTTTAGCAATTATTATTTCGAAAAATGTAATTCATTTTTCAATTTAATTGAATAAAATTAATTAATTCCCTTTTTTTTGCATTTTTTTTGTTTTTGTAGAACGATTTTCGAAATGAAATTTTCTCATTTATTTCAACTATTATCAAAAATTTGTAAGCTTATAATAAGAATTGAAAAAATTTTACATCTATTATCACAAAATTTTAATTAAAATGAAATCGAATATTGGTAATGAAGGAATGACTTAGCTGTAGTGATAAATAATGGAGGAATATGAACAAATTAATAAAAAATACCATATCCATTAATACTAGCATTAGTTTTTAATTCATTCACTATTGAGCTTTTTGTTGCGTTTCGTCTCATAAGGTTTTTGTCTGGCTTACTGTAGTCATTTTCGGGTAAATACACGTAGGATCGATTCCGGGGTGTATTATTCTAAAATCTTTTGCTGGTGTAGTAATTTTGGTGGATGGTCAATTTCGGGTTGTATTATTCTAACTTATGTTGGATCAATTCCGGGGTGTGTTATTCCTATGAATCTTTTGTTAATTCCCCGGGGGGGGGGGGTTGTATTATTACTGAATCTTTTCTCATGTAATAATTTTGATTTTGAATAATATAGTTCATTATTTATTTGAATTGAATTCTTGGCTTATTATTGAATTGGATAAGGCCAAATTATGATTACTTCTCATTAATGGAGTAATTACCTAAATTTATTGTAATTCTAATTTTAGCAATCATTCCTCATAGATTCTTCTCTACTGGTAACAATAAATTTCTTTTGCAAATTACATAATTTTTTTTTTTTTTGTCTTGTGTCATCTTTTTAACTGAAAAATTTATTTCATTTTAACTTACTTAAGGAAAAAATGTTGAAATATGGAAAAATATCTGTTAGAATTAATTATTTGACGAGAAAAACAATGTATTTTAATGAATTAGCATGAGAGAATGTTTGAATGAATATGCTATCTCATTTGCTTAAATGAAGCGTAAACATTGAATATATGCTTGAAGTGGGGAATTTTGATAAGCAGAATTGGTGCTGTAAGATGAACCGAATTTGAGTCAAAATATAATTCTTTGACTTTTTTAATTTTAATTTTAACTTCAATTTATGAATTTTCACTTATTCTTTTCGGAGATGAAAAAAAAAATGACGGGAAAGACAAAGTAATGTTACATATTTGACTGACAAAAAGGAAAAAAAAATTGAAATTTTTACTCAAATGTAAATAATTATATGCTTTGTATATTCGTGTAAATGTATATATATGCACTGATTTTTTCTAATTAAATTTCGTGATATGTTTCTGTGTATTTGCGCTTCTTTATGAATTTTATTTTCAATTTCAAATATTAATTTTTCTTGTTTTTTTTTTTTTTTAGAAATGAAAAAAAATCCGAGAAATTTAAAGAGGAATAGTGGCGGGAATTCAAGAGACCAGAATGCTGGTAAGATTGAAGGAACGAAAACCGGTAAAAAAACTATTCAAAAAAGTGGCAGAAACAAGGAACAGCAAGAGAAGCAGGTTGTTTAGTGGATTCATTATCTCTTCCTTTATCGGTTTATTTCCGAAATATTTAAAAAAAAAAGTAACCAACGATTTGTATCTCTATACTACACCATTTTGTGAAGTTTGAGAAATGGATGAAATCATATGGTAAGTTTTAATAGTGCTCGAGATCTGTCAAAAGACAGTTTATGCAAATGCTTATAAGATCTTAGTTCTTAAGTAATCATTTTCCTTTTTAAATCACATATATGTAGTCATTGAAAATTTTATGGTACTTTCCTCGGAATTTTTCGAAAATTAAAGTTACCTTCCCTAAAGTACTATCAATGCCATCAATAAACACTTTTTGATTCACTTGAAGCAGTGCCAGGTTTAATGTTTAATTTATTCTTCATCAATGTGTCCAGTATGATTAATTTCACTTTCCAGAATCTCTCAGTTATTACGGTTAAACCCGAAGGCGACATATCCAATCCGGAAGGCGACAAGTCCGACAATAGCCAATCATTTAGTGAGGAAGAAAATGTCGCCACCGTCCGACCGTCGAATCCTCCCAAGGTAATATTTGTAACAGGTGCAGTTTCTTGCATAAATTTTAAATGGCTTCTGGGAAGTGGAAATGATTGAAAAAAAATGGAGGGATAGAAGAGGTCGTTGTCATCTTGAAAAAAAAAGGAAAAAAACTCATAAAAACTTGGGAATATGATTTTGAAAGATATATGACGAGAAATAGAAAAAGAGAAATGATAGTGAATAGTAAATTTAAAGTTCAACTTTTGGATGACATTAGGCGAAATTGAGCAATAATATTGGTTTCAGAAACGAACTCGAAGACGCCCACCGGAGAAATATGCCGAATATGCTGCCTACCGAGTACGTATATAGATTTCTTCAATTTATCATATACTTAGTCGAGTGGGATATTTTATGGGTGCTACACCGGAGATTGCTTTTTGAATTAATCTAGTTTTGCAAGTATTTAATTGGTTGCCTGTTCATTTACTCATCCTCTCATAAGTTTTCAATAATTTAATCGAGTTACAATTAAGAAAAGTAACTATAACTGCAAAGATAGTCAATTTCTGAAAACAAAATATTCTACGATTAGAAAGACCGAGATCTAAACCATGACAAATTTTCTCCTACATCACAGTAGGGTGAATTGCAGTTTATAGAAGGGGAGGTTTTAACAGGAGTGGAAGCATTATGAATACTCGATTAGTAACTTAGTCTATTTTTAAAAGCTTTGCAAGTTTCACTTTATCTTTTCAATGAGAAAAAAAAGGACATGGTATATTGTAATACTTATGAATACATTTGCAGCTTAGATGAAATGGTTTTTTTTGGAATTGGCGGTAAAATCCATTTAAATTCAAAAACTCGTCTCTAATTTGGAACTCTCAGTTGCAGGGTCATACAACTAGTTGGGCTGTACTATCAAAAACGGAAAAACAACAACTTGCAGTGCAAGCATTTGCGGAAAGTGCTGATGGCACGGTGAAGTGTTTGAATGAAAAATGTAAAAAAGCTTTGAAAACAATGGAAGATATTGTTAATCATGTAGATAAGTGCCTGAAATTACCGGAATATTTCAAATATGTGGTAAGTCTTTTCACCCTGCTTTTAAAACTAAGGTTAAAGTAAAGTAATTTCAGGTATAATTCGTTTAAAATTTCGAGATCTTACACAGATAGTGTTAATTTAATTCAAATTTCAAGTAGATTGAAAAGTAAGCTCTCAGTCATATATCTAAAAACCTTATGTTATTATTAAATGGTTTAATATTTTTTGTTGGCAGGGTAAGGCGGACGAGTTCCGAGCGCTTGATAAAGTTACAAAAGCGAGAATTTTACGGATTTCAATGAACGCATTGGAGGTTTTGCCATGTTTAAATATCGAAACATTGAACTGTACACAAAAATATGGACATCTCTATGCACTATCGTATCATCTCGAAAGATGTGGTCAAGAGAAGGTACTTTTTTAATTTATATGAACTAGTTCCAAATACATGAATTTATCTCAAAAAATTTTCAATAATATAAATATAACCGCAGAAAAATATAGCGATACAATGCACTACAAAAATATTTTGTTGTTTAAAAATATATAAAAAATTAAATTTAAATAATTTGCTCTTTGAAAGGAAAAAAAAATGAAAGTCTTGTAGAAATTGATGGAGTTTTTGAATTTTACTAGTTTCCTAGGACCGGTTGCCTTGGAAATGTTGGAAGTGCGGACTTGCAGCCACCGTAGCAGATGGTCGTGAACATTTAGCCAAATGCACAAATCCGAAAACAAGAAGAAGAGGACGAAGGTTGTCAAAATTTACATTTCTGAACAAAGTTGATCGGAGTTTCCATTTTTTCAAATATCCACTGCCGTTGTTACAATACACTGAAGATTTTCAGATCGGACGATGAATCGTACTCCGGAAATTCAGAAAGTGATGAATCTGATGTGGATATTTCAAGGGAATTGAGAAAAGTATACTTATGACGAGTAATTTTAATAAGCTTTCTTTAGCTCATCTTTCAATTATCTTAGATGAAAGATTCATTCCTGGTGAAATCAGCTTCTTTTTAACTTTTTAGCTTTATCAAACTGTAGTCGTTTTGGGTGGCAATTAAAGAAAGAATACTGTCAAGTATTGAAGTGATATTTTATCAGTCAACTTCATTTCTCAGAAGAGGATTAAAGTTGCAGACTTGTTGGCATAGATCGTTTTTTTTTTTTTTTTCAACAGTTATGGATGTCTATGCAAACCGAATCTTCTTCTCTGCGAGTGTTTATTAGTATTTAAAAAATGCCTTGAAATACTTTTCCGTTTTCTCTTCTTTTCCTTCTTTCCTTATTAATAAATTTACCTTTCATTTATTAATTATAGAATAGAAAATCCGATAAGCAGAAAACAGCATCAATAGCGCAAGGATATTTGCCGGAGAAAAGTTCACGTATGAAAGTGTCTGATGGAATTAAACGATTCAAATTTAAAAATGCAAATCCTGAAAGTATGCTAAATTCGAATAATTTCTTTAATTGTAAAATTGGTACTGCTGATTTGCCCGATTGAAGTTGGATGCATTAGTGTTCGGATATTTAATATTTTTTCTTTTTTTGTATTCATAACTCACTTTTCATTTCAAGTAGAAATTGCTTTTTGAACCTTCGTAGAATCTATATTTTACAGTCAGTTAAAGGTGTTGGAGTTATTTTATGGCTTAAAATTTCCGGGATTAAGATTAGATCATTGAAAATTTGAATTTATTAAACTGGAAATTAATAATTCTACTAATTAAATATCCAGCCAGAGTCGTTGTTTGTCATTGATTGTTAGGTTTGCTAGTCTTTCCAAATTTGAATTGGTTTATTCATCCACAACTGACATTTTAGCTTTTTTTCTGCAAATATCTCGATTTCTCACGTCTTTCCAAATCATGGCTTATTTGTCGAATCTATCTGTCTTGAAAGCAGGAAAACATTTTGAAGTGTTACATGATTCAGTCTGATGTCCAAAAATGATCTACATATCTTCTATTATGTTGCTTTTTCCATGATTTACTCATATAATAATTTATGAAAAATTTTCAGCAAATGCTCCAACACCGCATGACCTAGTGCAGTACCAAGAAACGATTGATCGAGCGAACGAATTGCTTCGAACAGAGAGAGAGAAGGAATCTCCTTGCGATATACTTCTCCAATTTGCGAATCATCCAAATAATTTCAAACGTATTGCATCCTGTGATTTCAGGTTCATCATCTTTTTGGTTTCTGTGCTTTTATTTGTTCCTAATATTTTGTGGGGAGAATTTTCTAGCTTTTGAATTTTCTCAATTTTTTCTTCAATTGCAGTGAAGATTTGAATGCAATGCTTGATAAGTGCTCCATTCCTGTATTGCTTCCTTCTGAAAATAGCAAAGAGTGGCAACCAACATCATCAGATGAAAGACCAAGTAGAATTGTGAAGAATGTTCAGAAAGATCGGATAATTGATGAGAAGCAAAGGTTGCCAATTTTCGTACCCAAACCTTTGCACTGCAAGACGAGGGAAATGTAAGTTACTGATATTTATGCTAAATATCCTAATAGTTTGCAAAATGAAGTTTATGATTAAATAGATTGCTGTTTAGGTGTCCAACGTATACTTCTTTCTTTTCGTGAAAGCACGCTGATTTGAATGTTTGAGTAATCGTGGTATTTCAACTCTTCCAGTCACCTATGTTTATGAATTCCTTGAGTTCATCAAATGTCTTGAGTGTTGTTTGATGAAATGTACTCTGAAATAGTCTGAAATACTAACAGTCTTATTTTCCTTTTCATTACGCTGTATTGTATGTTTGGAAATATTTAATAAGATTTTTCCTTTTCTTAAATTTTTAAATAAAAAATCAATGGCAAGTATAACAGCCGTAAGCAACCTCGAATGATCATAAGCAACCTTGAATGATCAGTAATTTTATCTACCCTTTTCTGCCTTCCTTGATAACTAGAATTCCATTTCTCTTCTAGAAATTGATTTTCAAATGAATAATTAATTTCAGGCATTTGATGTTAGATGAAAATAATGTACATGAAATTGGTTGTGTTGCATATTGTGGAGGACCAATATCAACGATTAAAAGTTGTCCACGCAAACTGGAAGATGGTTAGTTATTGTGACAATGAACGCTCTTTTAAGGATTTCCTGTTTCACATTAGTGACAACTGAAATGTCTTAGAGCCGTTTGTTTTAACTTAATTGAATTTAATGAAAGAAAATGAATAATAAATAAGTGGTATAAATAAGATGAAATAAATGCTTATGTTTACAAAATGATATAGAACTGTCGTAAAGGCTGCTGTGAGCCTTAGTGTACATACCGATTCCATCTCTAGCAAGAGTTTTATCACTGCTTTATGGGTTTCTATCTATCTATCTATCTATCTATCTATATATATATATATATATATATATATATATATATATATATATATATAT